GATGGCTAAACCCCATCGTGTCCCTCAGTGAGCTCATGGCTGGGCCAAGAGAGCCCCTGGTGCAGCCCCCAGGGCTTGGAGCCCTGTACAGCTTCAGGGAACATCACACCCAGCAGCCACTTCCTCCGTGGTCACCTCTGTGTCCCCTGCCCTGCTGCTGTCCCGCAGGGAAATCTGCCCTTTCTTTTCCCTACTGCCTTGGGTAAGGCACATACCTAGCAGTTTTATTTCCAGCAGAGGTTTCAGAGAAAAGCCAAATTATTTAGAGGTTGGAAGGGAGGAGGTGGGTGGTCCATCCAGGACCTGCCTCCCAAATGCCTGAGGTCTCTCCCCAAAACACTGCTGGCAGGAGAGAGTCTCACTGCAGGGCCCTGACCTGGACACAGCAGTGGGATACTGGTTTGGGATCCAACTCCACCGGCAGCATCTTGGGCTCTGGCTCAGCTGTAGCAAATTTGCTCCTGAGGCTTTTCCAGCCCTGAGGCAGCAGATAAAAATCTCCTGTTAAATAATTTTTACAGCTGTAACTAATGTGTCTTGGTGAGAGGAGCTACAGCTCCTGTTTGGTTTCCTCTCTATTTCCCTGTATGAGGGTTTGTACCTTGGGATGGGAAAACAGCCACTGGGGAGAGGAGGAAGCCATAAAGCCATTAATAATTCATTCCCTCCTCCCAGGAGGGAGGACAGGGTGAAGTGCTTTACATTCAACTCCTCTGCACTACAAAGTGCCCTCGATTGTCCCTTTAGGACGAGAGATTCCTTGACAAAAAGCACTAAAGCACTGCCACTGAAATCACTCCTGTGTTCCTGTTCTCCCTGTCAATGGCCATGGAAGCCACCAGCTCCCGCCAGAGCCCAGGAAAAGGAGCTGCTGCCACGGGTGTGGACACTCACCCTCTCCCCCAGCCACCCTGAGATGGGTAGGAAGAGGCAAATTACTGGGCTTGGGGCTTTCTTCCCCAGCTGGAAATGCAGAACAATACTCCTGGGGGCTGGACACTGGCAGCAGCACAGAGCTGAGGTCCCACTGGGTCCATCATTCCCAGGGGAATTAGGTGTTTTCCACTCATGAGCTGGAGCAGCCTGTGTCCCTGGCATCACTTCCCTGTTATAAAAACAAAGGTTTAAATTCCAACACGTGGTGTTTGGGAATGGGACTGGCAGAAAAAGGGAACTGCTGGGGCTGTGGGGGCACTACAAATCCTGATATCCACACCATTTTCCAGAGGGCATTGCTGGGCCTGTGCTAAGCCATATGTGGGCTGTGCAGGATTTACACCTCCAGCTCTGCCTGCCATGGACTGGGGAGAGCTTTAGGCAGAAAAATGGGATTTTATCCCTTGTGTTTCAAGAAGTTTTTCTGAAGTTGTTGGCAGGCTGAAAAGGAAAGGTCTGCTGCCTTTTCATGGGTGGGAAAATGGAAGGAAAAGGGAAGAGAAGAAGAAAAGAAGAAGAAAAGGAAAAGAGAAGAAGAAGCAAAGAAGAAGAGAAGAGAAGAAAGAAGAAAAAGAGAAGAAGAGAAAAAGAGAAGAAAAAGGGAAGAAGAAGGAGAGAAGAATTTCAATTGGAAGGAACCTACAAGGACCATCTGGTCTCACTGTCTGCCCACTCCAGGGCTGCCCAGAAGCTGAGGGATGTTGTTAAGGGCATTAGCCGTGGTCTGGTTGAAAGCCCTGGGCAAAGCAGGATTTTGCCCATGGTCCAGAGGTAAATAAGGGATTGGGAAAGCAGAACAGGCAGGTAACACCCCTGTGAAACACCTGCAACCCCCCAGGAAGGTGTGTGTGGGGCCAACAGCAGCACGTGGTCACTTAAGAGGCTCAAAATAGTAAATACTCAGAGCAGCCAGAGGGAAAGGAGCAATTCTGAGCCAGGAAATTAATGCCACCCTTTGGCTTAAGCCACCGAGTAATGGAATGTAGTTAAAAATAAAAAAAACCCAGATGAAGGGTCACCCAGCCTTGTGATCATCTCCCAGAGCCCAGCTCTGCCCTGGGAATGCCTGAAGGGATTTCCTTCAAGAGCAAAAAAAGATGTGAGGTGCAACACTCTATCCTACCTTGGGTTCAAAGCTTTTCCAGGGCTCTCCTGCAGGCCCTTCCCAGTGGAGGGTCCTGCCCTCCTGCACACCCCCTGATGTGTAAGCTCTCACTCCACACAGATTTTGCTGCCAACATCATAATAGTAATAAAAATGAGTTGTGATGTCTCTGTGTGTGGTTTGGCTTCTCCAGGTAGCTGTAGCTGAGGCAAAGAGCCTTTAGATCCCATGGTCTCTATGGGTTAGGAATAATCTCTTTGGAGATTCAATTACAAGGTGAAGTATGCCCAATTCTGTTATTCTATTTTAAGGGATGATAAAGAAGCTGAGCTACTGCAAATGTAAACTCTTATGAGGATTAATGCAACTGCAACCAGTTTTTTATCACACTAATGATGCTATTTCTCACAGCCCCACGAAGCACAAAGGAAAGGTATGGATGTGGGATCTGTACTTCCAATCCAACAGAAATCCTTCAAGGGCTGTGGAAGCTGCAATGGCAAATAGATTTTATTCCAGAGCTGTTCTTCCACAGCCTCAATCTCCCCAAAGCTATAAAGTGAAGGAGCAGTTGTGTTTTACAAACGTGGACTGGGCATGCAGATGCTTTTATAAACCACAGGATGTGCTTCCTTCTTGGCAGCCTCACTATGCTCTTTATTTTTAACACCAAATAAATACAAAACAATCCAATAAAAACCAAACAGCAGTAAATCTCTGAAATCAGTTGCTCGTAAAAGCAAAACTATGAACTAAGTTTAGGCCCCAAGTATATGACTTGGGGAGTGAAAAGCCTCCCCAGGTCTGCAGTACAGATGGCTTTGTATAAATGAGTCAGTATTTCAGCCAGGATTCAGGATGTGGGGGCTGAAAGGACAGGGGCTTGGAAGGTAGAAACAAGAGGCACTTAAATCTCAAAGGTTTTTTATGAACACTAGGAATTTAACTACTTTATGAACTTCCCTAAGTATCTTCCTGAGATATTTTCTCCACTGCTGGTGGAGGGGCCCAGGAGGAACCAGGACTTGTGTGGCTCAGTGAAGAGCTCAGTGAACAAATCTGGCTGTAACAGGGGAGTTAAAATGAACACCTTGAATTCGTAAAGGATAAAGCTTTTCCAAAATCCCTCTGCTTGTGCAGGGAATGCCCAGCCTCTTCCCACTTCAGAGCTATTTACATGTCCACCAGAACCCCTTGTGCTACTTTTATTTTTATCATCTTTGCCTCACCAGCTTTTCTCATCCTCCTCGTGCCAGTGAAATCCATGTGCACATCACAGGTGGAGGAGAGGCAGGAAATGGATCTGGTGAGTGGGAAGAAGCAGTGGGAGAAAAATAAATCTCTTAATATCTAAGGCCATTGTCTCAGTATTCCTACAGAGTCCTGCCAGGTGAAGGACTGGGGCAGACACTGCTGAGGGTCACACAGAGGAGAGTCTGTGCTTGCACAGGGTTTTACCCTGATGCTGTGAATATTACTTACTCTGCAGTTTGTATCTCCCAGAAGATTCCAACTCCCAATTTAACACAACAGGAATCTCCTCCAAAGTATTCCCAAACAGGTTTAAAAATAAAATTTAAAAAATAGATAGATATTAAAAATACTTCCTTGCTTCTCTGAAGGGGAAGGTGGTTCCTGGTCTCTCAGAACTCTCTCTCTCCCTGGAGAGCTCCTAGTTCTGGTGCTCTGGGTCTCTCCTTGACGAGCAGAGTGATGTCCATGGCCTAAAACTTCTGCAGAAACTTGAGGACCAAGTCACGCAGTTTCACCCTCAGAGGTTCATCGTTGTCACAGATGATGTGTGTGGAGTCCTCCTCAATCTGGATAAGGGTTTCTGCCTCCTGGAGAAGGACAATGTGGCCCTTGGCTGTGTCCTCCACCTTCACGTCATTGAATCCATGCTGGATGTAGTGTTGGGAGGGAGGAAAGGAGAAAGGTGTTACCACAGCTCAGAAAAACAGGGAGAGATGAAAGGCACAGGGTGAGAAGAGGTGAGAATGGCTATAAAACACAGAGTGCCATTGCAGATATCCTGGATCTCTGGGACATGCAGAGGAAACATGCACAGGCTAAGCTAAATATGGCCCTCATTATCCAGCTGGAGAAAGGACAGAACAGGGAGGCTCATCTCATCCCACCCCCTGCCACGGGCAGGGACACCTCCCACCAGACCAGGTTGCTCCAAACCCCATCCAACCTGGCCTGGAACATTTCCAGGGATGGAGCAGCCACAGCTGCTTTGGGCAACCTGTGCCAGTGCCTCACCCCCCTCACAGAGAAGGATCCCTTCCCAATATCCCATCTCTCCCTGCCCTCTGGCAGTGGCAAGCCATTCTCTCTTGTCCTGTATCTCCAGACTCTTGTAAATAGTGTCTCTCCATCTTTCTTGTGTTCTCCCATCAGGTACTGGAAGGCCACAATCCTGCCCTTTTTTGTTCTCAGGTCCTCCAAGACATCATACAGGCAAGAACGAGACTCCACGGAGCAGCAATCAGCTGCCTACAAGTTCAGCCACCAACTGCCCCATCCTGCAGCTCCTCATGAAGCTTCTCCATCAGTGGAGACATTTCATGGAATCACAGAATCAGTCAAGTTGGAAAAGATCTCTGAGATCATCAAGTCCAACTTAAGACATTTCCAGGATCTCTTCTTCACTTGGTGACCTCATTTTCACAAAACTTGTAGAAACTTCAATGCTTCTGAGACCTCCTACCCACTGCTCAAATTTACTGGAAATCAGCTGAGGAATCCAGAGGATCCATGGGGAAATTCACCCACCCAGCGTGACCAAATGCTCTGCTTCCATGGGAAACCAGGAGGAAATGACTGACATGAAGTCCCTATATCAGGACATGACTCCATAGAGGACTATTCCCTCCATACTCAGTGCAGGAACACAAATTCCCTGAAGCACTTTGCTAACTCATTAGCCCATTTCTAGCTACATGACAACTATTTCCCCTCTCCCTGCTACCAAAGCAGCACATCAGAGATGAGCAGAAATCTGCTGGAACCTCACTTGCCACCAAAGACTTCTCACCTTCTCCAGAGTCTGCACAAACTGGTCCACAGGGATGGAGCCACTCAGCAATGGCTTCAAAGATTTACACTCTGGCACATCATCACTCACTCGCTTCCTCTTCTTGCTGGCAGGAGGTTGGGGAGGTTTTGGAGGGAGCTAATGGGTGAGAAGGTGCACAGGAAAATAAATCACGTTCTAAAGGATGCAACAGGATGAGAAACAGACAAATCCAGAGCATAGAACTACTCAGGCAATGAGAAAACAGGGAATGTTATGAGAACACTAGTGTTGGAAAAGTGAGTCTTTAGGAAGAGCTTAAGTACAGACAGGAGGGTGGGAGCTGCTGCAGTACTTGAGTCACTTTGCAAAGCTCACCCACCATTCCCTGGTAGCTGGGCCTACATGCATGGATCATGTTATTTAGGCATGAATCATCCACATGGTTCTGTATTCACAGACTGAGCCTTTGGGGCTTGTCTACACATAACTTCTGTGACTCCCAGAGGTCCCAGGCTCAGCCAGTACTGACCCCTGGGCTGGCTCATCTCCAGACATTTATGAGGGTTCAGGCATTTTAAGACATTTCCATCCTGGGTCCTCTTCCCAAGTGCACTTGGGCCAGCCCAGCTCTGCTGCCCAGTGGGAGAGAGGTTCTTAACTGAGTCCCTGCACACTCCTGAATCCAAGGAGAAAGGGGATCAGGGCATCCACTGCTGAGTAGATCCCCGAGACATCACCTCCTCCTGCAGAGCACTAATGCCAGGAATTCCAGTGCCAGCCTAAAGGAAGTGGCATGAAGAGGGTGCACACTGTTGGCCACGGCTGCATGACCCACCCCTTGGGGAACAGGACACCTGAAGGCAGACAGTCCTTTCCCAAGTCTAAGGCTTCAGGTCATCTCTCTCCCCTGACCCTCAGTTCTAAGTACACGAAGGGCTGACTGATGCTGTTCCTCGTTATGGAAGACAGCAGGATGATTTGTAGCCTCTCTTCAGGAATAATCTCACTTCCCCTTTTATCTCAGCCAGGCACATGGCCAAGGAAGAGGTCAGAGAGATTTATTTGCATCCCACTCTCCTCTAAGTGTAATTCCTCACTCACACATGCCAGGGCAAAGCCTCTGACAAGGACTCTGCTCCGGTGGGGATGGAGCTGGTGGAGGGGTTGCCCCATGAGGACAGCTTTGGGTCCCAGATGCCAGAAAAGGCAGTGTAAGGATATTTTTCTCCCTTTCCCATTATACTGTACCTGCAGCACATGCTTGTTGTCTTTAGTATGCAGCACAGCAGAAACTGTTGCTAAGGAAATACCAGGCTTAATCTCCAAGGGCACGAGTGAATCTGCAAGCTAAAGCAGGAGATTTTATTCAGCAAGTGATAAGCTCCAAATGTGTATGAACCCAGCTGTGAGTTAAATTGGCAGCATGATATTTTTAAACATGGACTAATGAACTGTAAACACAAACCCACTGATACAATGACAGAGAGCTTCTCTCACCTATCCAGCCCTCCTTCCAGCTCTTAAAACTACAGATTTCATCCCATGAGCAGAGCAGGGTGAGGCTGTCAGTAACCAGAGCAAGTCTCAAAAAACAATAATTAAAGAGAACCCTTGTGTCAAAAGAGAACTTCATTAATAACTTTAGTTAGTAAAGCTCACGATGTAATTCAGCATTATTTATTATGTTTGTTATGTCAATGGACAATGAAAATTCAAAGTGAGTTTCTCTTGAGTTCCATAGTGCTGTGGCATTCTCACTGCAAAACAGCTGGAAGGAAAGGATTTGTCTATCATTTGGTTTGAAATTATTCCTTACTGTGCTGCACAAAAACCCTTCCACTGCCTTTTCACAGAATCACAAGCTCAATCAGGTTGGGAAAGACCTCTGAGATCACAGAGTCCAACCTATGACCTAACACCACTGTGCCAACCAGACCATGGCACTAATTGCCATATCCAGTCTCTCCTAAAACACCTCCAGGGATGGTGACTCCACTCCCTCCCTGGGCAGCACATTCCAGGGTCTAATCACCCTTTACATGAAGAAATTCCTCCTAATGTCGAACCTCTAATTCTTCTTTGAAAGACAAAAAATTTGGCCTTGGCTCCAACTTTGGATTCAGTTGCAATGTCCTGGGCCCCTCAGCATGGAGGGTGATGGCAGTGACTGTGGATGGGCAGCACTGCACCTGCTGAGACTGGGAAGCACCTCTGTCATCTGTGTTACCAAAGGAACTATGGAAAACAGTGCTCATAGAACGCTAAGGGCTTGGAATGGACCTTAGAGATCATCTAGCCTCAATCCCCTGCCCTGGGCAGGGACACCTCCCACCAGACCAGGTTGCTCAAGGCTTTATCCAACCTGGCTTTGAACACTGCCATGTTATCATGAACAGAGATAATTATTCCCTTTTTCCCTCCAAGGGAGTTCTAGGTGACCAGGTGCCCTGGAGTCCTGTCCATAACTGGTTTCTTCACGTATCAAAATTTTACTGCCCAGTACCCTGGTCTGCTGCAAATTACAGTGATGTAGGTGATCACTCTATTCCTGCAAAGCTCTAATCCAAATCAGAAGCAACTGAACTTGACTTCAAAAAACACTCACTACTGGCCTAAACCTTTTGCCATTGAAGCACTGAGAAGGCTTTTCCATTGGCTTTGATGGTGACAAAGTTCAGCTATTTTTAATGACTTCTGAAAATCTTACCTACCACCATTAAAGCTGCAGGAATATTTTGAGAGCACCTCCTTGGAAGAAAACAGTTGATGTGATGGGAAAATACAGACATTTTAAGGCTGCATTAAAAATCCCTCATTTTTGTATATATTCAGACTTGGTGAATCCTAGAAATCCAAATTTCACAGAGCAATTTGCATTGCTGTCACTCTGGGCCTCTGTTCAAGATCTTTAAAGCAGGTGATTTGAACACAGCCCTTACAGGTTGTTTTTGAAAGCTAAGAAAATGGAAATATAATGATAATCATCACTTCAGATTTCTCCTGGGACCTAAAAATAGCAACACTTGCAGCAGTGTGTTCTGCTGCACTTCACAGTGGTCGAAGGCACTTTGCACTCCCACCACCTTCTAGAGGAGGATCGATACAAAATGGGCTCTAATGAAGAGTACATGGAGAGGTGACAAACACTGTAAAGAGAAAGATCCTTAAAAATCAGGGAGTTGCTTAGAATCTAAGTCCTCTGCTGCCACTACAATACTTTGATATTAACATTCATGCAGTTTTAACCACACAGCTGTTAAATAGCAGCACTTCAATTATTAACAGTCAAAAAGACAGTAAGACAGACATTCATTTTTATTTCCTCTAAGATATTGCTTCAGCCCACAGCCCTCTCCATGCTGCAGCCAATCCTTTTATTATAGAAACTCACTGACCCAAACCAAAAAGGTCATTTAATCACATCCAGTAATTCACCCACCAAGACCAGACAGCACTGCTATACTCCTTTCAACTGACCTCCTGCACACACAAATCACAGAACTCTTCCAAAATGCTGGATTAAAGAAACCTTTTCAGAGAGACAGCAAATCTTGTCTGTACACCAAGCTATGGCAACTCCACCATTCCCTCTCACAAGCTGTTTCAAACTCTAATTCTCCTTGCAGCTAGCAAACCGTGTCTCATTTCAAGGTTGAATTTGTCCAACTTGCAGTTGCTGGATCTCGTTCTGCCTTTGTCTGTGAGATTGAAAAGCCCCCCACTAGGCAAGAATAAATGTGCCTTCCTTCCAGTCATTGTCACAAGGCTGATGTCACATGCTGGCACCAGGCAAGGCAGAGACACACTGCACTCAGAGCTAACACCACGTTAATCAGTTCTCTGCCTATGGATGAGGACTTGGACTGCCTTAGGACAAACCTCTGTGTCTGCGTGTGCTGTGTATTTCATTTTGTAGCGTGGGATGCTCTGCTCCTGTGAGCAGAGCTGTCCACTCATGCTAAAACAGAGTACAGATATTTTTACAGAATCACAGACTCAGTCAGGCTGGAAAAGGCCTCAGATCATTGAGTCCAACCTATGACCTAACACCACCATGTCAACTAGACCATGGCACTAAGTGCCACGTCCAGTCTCTCCTTAAACACCTCCAGGAATGGTGACATCACCACCTCCATGGGCAGCACACACCCTTTCTGTGAAGAAATTATTCCTAACATCTAACCTAAACCTCCTCTGGTGCAGCTTGGTGCTCTGTCCTCTTGTCCTGTCACTATTTATCTGGGAGTAGAGCCTGACCCCCATCTGGCTACAACCAGGCCATTGTAGAGAGTCACCCCTGAGCCTCATCTTCTCCAGGCTAAACACCCCCAGTTCCCTCAGCCTCTCCTCACAGGACTTGAATTCCAGTCCCTTCCCCTGCTCCATTCCCTTCTCTGGACATGCTCCAGGACCTCACTGTCCTCCTTGCAGTGAGCAGCCCAGAACTGGACACAGCATTTGAGGTGTGGCCTCACCAGTGCTGAGCACAGGGGGAGGATCACTTCCCTGGTCCTGCTGGCCACACTGTCTCTGATCCAGGCCATTACCACTGATATAGGACATTAGTGTTGAATCTTTCCTGTAGGATTGCATTTTCCACAACAAAATGAGATTTGACACACTCTGTGTAAGCACAAACACTGTTGTTGGCCAAACTGCAGTTGTTTATAAAGAAGAACATAGGTTAGGTCACTCTCGAGTCTCTACCAACGCTTTTACCTGAGACAACTCTCCCCAAGTTTTAAGTTTGCAAGTTGCCTTCAGTCACCAGCCAAAAATCCTCTTGTGGGCAATGAGGGGCTGAACAATGCCTGAGTGTGGGATCTGAAACTCGTACAGTATTAAAAAATACATTGAGGCTGAAAAATTCACGAACACAATCAGGAGAGGACCAGAATTTTAGCACATGGTCTATGTTCTATGGAGGACCAAACTTGAGTTGAGTGGGGTGAGCTGGATCTTCACCCTCCAGGACCAGAGCAAAGGGGAACAAGCAGGAACACATCAAAGTTTACCAATAATTAAAATCCCCTTAACTTTGGAGATCTGAAATCACTGACGTGTACATTAGATTATAATGTGTATTAAGAGAAGGACCCTGGTGGGTTTTTACATCAACAGT